TGACATCGTGTGTCCATGTGAGAGGCAGCCATGACCGGGTGAAGGTGCTGTGGGATGCGTTCTTTGACAGAGGCCAGCAGGAGAGTCTGCCGGGTTCCCTCACTGTCTTTTTTTCTCCCCCTTCCTCCTCTTCCTCTTCCAGTCCAAGCTAGCCTCCATGTCCAACGATTTCAAGTCTGTCCTGGAGGTGCGAACAGAGGTAAGAGTCGACTTGTGAATCCCCCCACCCTCCGGCTTTGCCCCAGGGAGTATCCCCAGGACAACCTGGCTGCCTTGGATGTTAGTAAAACTGCACTGTTGACCCATCCTCAAATCAAAGGGGCAAAGAAGGTTCCTGGGGAGTATTTTTCTGTCTTTGCTTTGTTTTCCTGTTTCCTTATCTCCCCCCCTCCCGTGTTTTTGTTTTGAAGAAAGGTGGAGACAAAGCAGAGCTTAACTTTAAACTTCTTTAAATACTTGTGAAAGCTCCTACCCTGTCACATATTTTTTTCCTCAATGAACATTTTGTTGAGATTTTGTAAACATTGCAAAAATAATACAAAAATACACAGCAAAGGTATACAGCTCATATAATGGAACTTAACGTCAAGATAGTAGTACATAAAAGAATCAGACATTTGTAAAAAAACAAAAAAATCACTGCACGGAGGTTCGTGATACAGGACATAGTATCTAGTGCATAGGTTTTACCACAAACATAAGTCTTCGATCTCTGCCACATATTTTGTTCGTCTTTAAGGTGCTACTGGACTCTTGCTCTTTTCTGCTGCTGCAGGCCAACTAACACGGCTACCCATCTTGACTTAACTTTAAAGTTCCCATGAGAGAGAGTTGGCCAAATGGGATGGCAGACTTTCCCATAGCCCATAGTGCTATCTAGACATTGGGGAGGTTCCATTCACTGTGCAGCTGAGCAGCTGCTTTGTACACAGAAGGCCCCGTGTTCATTCCCTGGCATCTCCAGTTAAGGATCTCTGGTAGGAAGACCCTTTTCTGCAGAGAGGCTGGAGAGGGACTCGCGGTGGGGGAAGACTCCACTGGAGTAGACAGACCAGTGGTTGAAATCAGTATAAGGCCAGTTCCATACACGTTTAAGGGGATTGGTGGTGGAAAGGGCCATCAAGTTGCCCTTGACTTGCGTCGACCTCTCGTGGCGTTTTCAAGGCAAGAGATGAACAGAGGTGGTTTGCCATTGTCTTCCTCTGTGTAGCAACCCTGGACTCCCTCGGTAGTCTCTCATCCAAGTAATAACCTGGACTGACCAGGCTTACCTTCCGAGATCTGACACGATTGGGCTAGCCTGGGCCGCCCAGGGCAGGGCAGGGTTAGCCATCATCTAATCCATTGCATTGCTGTCTTTGTCACGACCCAACTGCGTTAACTTGGGAGCACAGAGGCAAGGTTTTGGCCTTGTGGCCAGCTTTCTGGGCTTCCCCTGTCCAGGTGCACACCCGCCTCCCTGAGCTGGCCAGCTCTAACCTCTCCCCGCTTGCTCCCCCAGAATCTCAAACAGCAGAAGACTCGTCGGGAACAGTTTTCCCGCGCACCAGTGTCCGCCATGCCCCTCTCCACAAACAATCTAGGTGAGTCAGTGTGTTGCGCCCTTCCCTCTTCGCCAGTGACTGGAAGCAGGTGTTGGTGTCTCATGGCCAGTGGGGGGGGGGAGACAGTGGGAGAAGCTGAACATCCGACCATCGGTCTGTAGGCGCTGATGCTGGTGATTGGTCTTGCAGGTGGAGCCGCTGTGCTTCAGGATGACCCCCGGCGCTCGGGGGACGTGGCTATCAACATGGACAACCAGATGAGCCAGCAGTTGCAGCTCATTAACGAACAGGTGCTAGGAGTGGGGGGGCTGCAGGCACTGTATTTTGGGAGTGTGTGTGTGTGTGTGTGTGTGTGTGTGTGTGTGTGTGTGGGCTGATGAGAGAGGCAACCTTGGAGAGCAGAGTAACTGAGCAGCCCCCTTTCTCAAAATCTTCCACCCTGGGGGGCAAGGCTCACCAGACTGGCCACAAATCCTCTTCCTGTCCCAGTGAACCCCAGTGTCTTTGGTTTCCCCACAGCAGTCTTTGCTGACCGAGGCCTGTGTTGCTTGACCCATATGGTCTTGCTGGGAGCATTGTGGAACTCGCAGGTCTCTAAAGAGCCCTGCTCTGGGTTTTCTCTGTTGGTCATGCCAAAGTATGACACCGAGACCAAAGCTGGGGGAGCACCTTTCTGTATAAAACCATTCCAAGGTTTTTACTGGCCAGTTTGCTGATTTTTTTCAGATGCCCACCCTTTTCTAGCCAGTGAGCTAAGAATGGGTGATAGCAGGTGGTGGTTTATTTGTTTTTGCAAAAAAAAAAATCTCTCTCCAAAGCTTTTTGTTTTTGTTAAGAACATCAGAGAAGCCAATGTTGGGTCAGGCCAATGGCCCATCCAGTCCAACATTCTGTCACACAGTAGCCAAAAATACCAGGTGCCATCCGGAGGTCCAACAGTGGGGCCAGGACACTGGAAGCCCTCCCACTGTTGCCCCTTACCCCCGGCACCAAGAATACAGAGCATCACTTGCCCCAGATCGAGAGTTCCTATCTATACCTTGTGGCTAATAGCCACTGATGGACCTCTGGTCCATATGTTTATCCAACTCCCCCTTGAAGCTGTCCATGCTTGTAGCCGCCGCCGCCTCCTGTGGCAATCACTCTTTGGGTGAATAAGTTTTTTAAGTATAAAGGATTTGGGACACTAAGTGGTTTCATCGTAAAATGGACACTGATAAAGCCATCATGTTTGCACAATACGGCCACCCCTGCCTCCCACTCTTACTGCATACTCATCCAATATGATATATACATAGGGGAGGAGATGGCTTGTGGATGACATAAGGAGTTTTTGGCTTTGGGAATGAGGAAGGGTCATGGGCTTGCCTTGACAAAAGGTAGGATGATGTCTGGGGTTCCCCAGCTGCAAGCATACCTGCCTCATCCTTCTCCTCTCTGCCCCCCTTGCAGGATTCCTACATTCAGAGCCGGGCAGATACCATGCAGAACATCGAATCCACTATTGTCGAGCTGGGCTCCATATTTCAGCAGCTGGCACACATGGTCAAAGAGCAGGAGGAGACTATCCAGAGGTATTGTGTGAGGGTCAGTGGAGAGAAGCATTCTCTCTAGTGTGTTCTGGGTAGAAAGCCCAACCAGACTGTGGTGGAACTGCTGTTAAGTTGCCCTACGAAGAGTGGGATTGCTGGTCTGTGCAGTTCAGTGTTGTCCTGGCCTCTCTTCAGAGACTCAGACAGAGCAACAGCTTTCCTACTACCTAAGATCCTTTAGCAGGAAGTGCCAGGGATTGATTCCAGGGCCTTCTGCTCACACAGCACTTGATCCAGCATTGTATTATGGGTAATCTGTACCAGCTGCTGACGTTGCAGGTTCTGTCATCTCTGTAGCCAACTGAACTGGCACTTCTTTCCCCATTGCCCAGTGGGGATCTGAGCTCTCACTTTCGGGTCCCTAAAGACCCACTAGCTTGCCAGCTTCTCAGCGGAGCTATAGCAACTGTTAAAAGACAATAGAGGCAGAGCTCTCCCTAGGCCCTGCCACATGCGATTAGGACTGAACCTTGGATAAGTGGCATACACCGCAAGTGCCCTCTGTCACTGAATTATAGTTTTCCCCTGTGAAAAGGGATACGGTTTGGGTGGAGATTGGCTCACATGGGTTGCTTTCTTTACTGTAGCAAGTAATCAGCACAAATCAAAGCTTCTTTTTAAAAATGTGATAGAGTTATACTTACTTCTCTGACCTGGATAGCCCAAGCAAGCCTGATCTTGTCAGATCTCAGAAGCTAAGCAGGGCTGATCCTGGCAAGTATTTGGATGGGAGATCTCCAAGGAATACCAGAGCTGGGACACGGAGGCAGGCAATAGTAAGCAACCTCTCTGAAACATCCACGCCCCAGTAGGGGTTGCCAAAAATCAACCATGACTTCAAGGCATATGTATGTGAACACAAAATACCCAAAAAAAAGTTATTGACACAGAGAGGTACTCCATCTTTCTGTGTTATACCTCTGAGGATGCCAGTCACAGCTGCTGGCGAAACATCAGGTACTACAATGACAAGACCACGGCTGTACAGCCCGGAAAATCTACAACACTAGTTATACTTGGTGTTTTGCACATGTTTCTCAGCAACAACGCAGCAGGTTTGCTTTCTCTTGTAACAGGGAAAGGCAATACCGCTAGCTAAATGTATTCAGTGTAATATTTATACTGCCATCTGATAATTGCAGTTATAGTGCTGTTTAACTTCTTGCTGTGCGAGGCTGCTGAACTTCTGCACGGCCCCTTGTGCTGCCCCTTTTAGTTTTATCATGCTGTTTGTTAAGGCTGGTTTTGTGAATTGTTGTTTAGTTTTTTTAAACCCCTAGGTTTGTTTTAGTTGAGAGCTGGCATGCTCAAGGAAAATGGAAGTCAGGAAGTACACTGGCTTGGATCCAGAGGAGGGATTTCCATGAAAAGAAGGAAGTGGTTTTTGCAGATCAGGCCCCCAGTTTCATTGTTCTGGAATGGGTAGGGTTGCCAAGTCGGGTGTTGCGCCGCAGCGCGCGCCTCCCGGCTGGAGCCTAAAGCGCGCGCCTCCCGGCTGGAGCCTGGAGCGCGCGCATATGCGTCACCCAGAAGTGACGTGACGACACCGGGCACGCTGGGGGTGGGGCCACGACCATCCAAGGGAAAACCATAGAGTTTTCCCTCGGATGACCGTGGCCCCGCCCCCAGCGTGGTCGCGTCACTTCCGGGTGATGCGCACGTCGGGTGGGGCTCCCCCCGGGGTCCGATCCGCCGGCCACAGGGAACGGGCCTCTGGGGTGGGGGTTTCCCCGCCCCCCGGGGGGACTTGGCAAGTTTAGGAGTGGGGGTTCCCTTTTCCTTCAGGAGCAGCATTTCGGGGGGGTGCACTTGGGGTAGGAGGCAGGGAAGTCCTGTTCTGTGAGTGGAAATCTCTTCTCTCCCTGGAAATCTCCAGCAGACCCGATCCATTGCCCTTGAACTGGTTTTTTTGTGCCTTGGAAGGTCCTGTAGCACCTTAGATACCCACAAGAACCTGAGGGTGTAAGCTTTCGAGAGTCAGAATTCCCTTGCTCATCTAGCAAAGGGAGCTTTGACTCATGAAAGCTTATACCCTGGCTGTTTTGACTTTGCTGTTGGACTCGAATCTTGCTCTTCTCTAACTGCAGACTAACACAGCTACCCTCTTTTTTAATTAAGATTTTTATTGTTTTCACACAAAAAAGTTAACCTAGCAAACAAACTCCATATAGCCCGCCCACCCACTCTTCCATAATGTGTCCAATTAGCAGAGAAGGTGAGAGAGAGCGAGAGAAATAGGGTAGGAATGTAGGTTCAGGAAGTAAGGCGCAACGTTATGGATTCAATTAAACAGGGAACACAGGTGAGGAGATATCATGGCTCAATTAGGTACAAGAATTCAGGCCAAATGGCAGTGAAGTTTCTGGGAGCTTCTTGCCTGTCGTATGTTATTTCATCTTTTGTACAAAGGTCTAGCATGTCATTGACCCAGAGATCTATAGAGGGTGATACCTGCGATTTCCAGTATTGTAAAATGATTATCTGAGCAACTAAAGCTGCCCTTTGGATCCAAAATATGTGGTATTTCGAGAGTGCCCATAGAGTTGGTATATATCCTGGCATCTGACTGGTTTGGCAGCTAATTCGCTGTCTCTCCCCTGGGACTTGGCTACAGTGATCCATGCAATGGTCACTTTCAGGTTAGTCTACTGCAACTCGCTCTACATGGGGCTGCCCTTGAATCTGACCCAGAAAATCCAGCTGGTGCAAAATGTAGCGGCGCACCTTCTGACTGTGACGTCTGTGCAGGTGCGCATTCAGCCAGTGCTCCATCAGTGGCACTGGCTACCAATTGAGTACCGGGTTCGGTTCAAGGTGTTAGTGTGAACCTTTAAGGCCATATGCGGTCAGGGACCAACATATCTGTGGGACTGTCTCTCCCTATATGTACCCCTGGGACCTTTACACTCGGCAGAACAACACTGAGTGGAAGTCCCTGGCTCAAAAGACCCCTGCCTGGCCTTGACTAGGGTCAGGGCTTTTCCCATCCTGGACCCAGTCAGATTAAACATGCTCCCAAATGAGATTGGGACCCTGCGGGATTTATTACAGTTCCACAGGGCCTGTAAAACAGAGCTCTTCCGCCAGGCTTTCAGTTAACTGGTGGGCGTCCATTCATTTAGGCCCCTTCTGCCCAAACTACCGTCAAATCGCTTTATGGTGTAGATGGCAGTCGTAACCATCAATTGTAACAAGACTGTTTATCATATTTCTGCTTGCCTGATGTTCAGCGCAAGCTGTACAATCATCTGTTGCTGGCCTACCATCTGTCTTTTATTCAGGATTCTTATTGTCACGGTTTTAAGTTGTTTTATTGTTTCTAGGAGCTGTGGTGGCTCAGAGGTTAAGACGCTGAACTACAGACTGGAAGGTCTGTAGTTCGGCAGTTCGAGACCCGACTACCGCATGATAAAGTTTCTGGCCCCAGCTCCTGCCAACGTAGCCGTTTGAAAGCAAGAAATTGCAAGTAGATAAATAGGCAGGGGTCGTTTCGTAGACAAAGAGCTAGGGGAACTCATTAGCATAAGTCATTAGCATATGCCACACCCCCTGACATCAGGGGCCCGGTGGTGGACCTGCAAAGCCGGCGGGAGTGCGAGGAAGCCCCGCCAAGGCCCTCCCTGGCCCCAGGCAGGCAGGGGTGGGGAGAGGCAGGGAGGAAGCAACTTACCCTCCCTCTTCTCCTGCCTCCTCCTGGCTGAATGAGGGCCAGAAGCGGGGCAGCCGGAAGCAGGGGGCGGGGCTTCGTCATGTGCCCCGCCCCCCTGCACCTCACCCGGGGGAACTGCGATCCCCCGCAATCCCCCCGAATTGACCTCTGTAAATAGGTACCATTTCAGTGGGAAGGTAACAGCGTTCCATGCGCCTCAGCGTTTAGTCATGCCGGCCACATGACCATGGAAAAGTCTTTGGACAGGGCTGGCTCTTTGGCTTGGAAACGGAGATGAGCACCGCCCCCTGGAGTCGGATTGGACTGGCTTCCGAGCAAGGGAAACCTTAACCTTTACCTTTATTGTTCATATCTCTGTTATGACCCACGCTGAGCCTGCTTGCGCAGAGGGCAGGACACAAGTTAAATAAAATAAGTAGATTCCTGGCTGTGAAGCCTAAATTAGCAGCTAACGGGAAGATTGCTCCTGGATATAACCTCCTGCCAGAAATGTGTGATTTTTAGAGGAATTCCAAAACATGTGAACAAGGTTAGCTCCAGGCTTCTGGCAGCGCCAACAAGGAATCATTCTCAGTGGTGAAAAAGAAGTTACCTATTGATGTGAAATGAAGGTGGAAGGAGTAAATAATAGAATTTAAGACATGGGCTGGAGGTTGGAGCACTGTGGGAAGCCTAAGAAGGGGGGGGGAGGTGGAAAGGATATATAACAAATGTAATTTTGATATGTGTTTGACTTTTTCATTATATCCCAATAAAATTGTTGTTTTTTTAAAAAAAAAGGAATCATTCTCAGTGGGACCAGTGTGATAAAATTTAGTAGGGTACCCGTACACTTGCAAGGGAGTTTTTTGGTGTATTTGTGGCTTGTGGCTCTTGCGCTCCATCCTCTCCTTTCATTGCAAGCACTAAGCACAACTGCAGGCTCCCTGTTTTCAGAAGCTTGATATCTGACTGCACGTACCATCTGAATGGAAATGCCTGAATGGATGTTACAAAAAAGGGTGTTTGATGTGAAAATTTTCAAAACTAGGAAGTCTTCAACTCTGCCGGGGGTGGGGAGAGCATGCAAGCACAGCAATAAGCCGGCCTTGTGTCTGTCACAAACAAAAGTTTGTTCATAACTTCTGAATGCAGCGAACTTTCTGTTCTAAATGGAAGTCAAACAGTGATCATCCTGTAAGATAGGACATAGGTGAGAATTTGAGCAACCGGAAGAAAATTCAATTTAAATCAATAAATTAAGTAACTTTAAAGCTGTCAGACTTCTGTTTGACGTCTATGTATTTTATCTCATGGATTTATGTTTCTATCTATTTGTTGTACATTGACCAGAGCTCTGCAATAGCAGGGACTGGGTGATTCAAAAACCCAATATAATAATAAGGCTTACTCGTAACTCTACAGAGGCAGATTTAATGGCTTTTAGTGCAGTTTGCCATTGGGTCAGTTGAACAGCCACACTCTTGAAACTACCTTTATGTGACTCATATTCACGTACTTCGAGTTTCAGGTTAGCGTGGGGTAACCGTGACCCAACTTTATTGGTTTAAATAAATAAAATATACCATGCCTCTCCAAATTTGTTCAAAGCAGCTAACGATACACAGCATATTTAAATTTCATGGTAGACTGGCTAAAGTCACTAGTAAATTTATCACCCAAAAGCCAGCAACATCTCAGCAAGGGAACAGGTTACCTCCAAATGCTCCCACTTGCAGTCAATTGCCACACATGCCCAGCCAAACTTGATGGGAGGCAATAAAACTACTAACAGACTTTATCTGCTGACCCAAACCTACCGCACAGGGTGTCTGTTGTGGGGAGGGGAGGGGAGGGGAAAGGAAAGGAGTTTGTAAGCCGCTCTGAGACACCTTTGGGTAGTGAAGGGCGGGGTATAAATCCAATCTCCTCTTCTTCTCTTCTTCTTCCTTGAACTTGTATGGGGCGGAGGGTACCGTGCTCTAAGAATGAGTAGGCTTCACCTGCCCCTTTCTTTGCTGCTCCCCCAGAATCGATGCCAACGTGGAAGACGCTCAGCTGAACGTCGATGCCGCGCACACAGAGATCCTGAAGTACTTCCAGTCTGTCACCTCCAACCGCTGGCTCATGGTGAAGATCTTCCTCATCCTCATAGTCTTCTTCATCATCTTCGTGGTGTTCCTGGCCTGATGGCGAAGGCGGCTCGGTCACCTCTCCCTCCCTCGACCTCCTCCTCCAGAGCCGCGTTGGGACACTGGACTCTCCTGCTCGATCTTCTGGCAGCCAGCAGGGAGCAGCAGAGGTGCCCACCGTGTGTCTGGCTCTGAAGGGGCTGGTGGTGGCCATCCTCACTACTCGTGACTTTTGGCCCGGAGCGAGGGCCACTCTGATTTGGAGTGCAATAGCATTTGGACTATGCTGTGAAGGGCTTTGCCTCAACCTCTCCCCCTCCTCCCCGCGATGGGACATGACCTGGCAGGGGTGTGTAGAGGGACCAGCATCTTGTTTCCCTTTCCTTTATACTATCTGCTTGCCCTTAATACCCGGGACTCAAGCGTTAACCAATCGACACACACCCCTCCTCCTTGTTGGTACGGACCTTCAAGCCCACGCGACATCCAGCCCGTCTTCTCACTGTATGTAGAAGGAGGAAGCAAGCTGCCCCTGGGCTGTGCCTTTTGCACAGGGCCTGTGCGTATTAAGTTTTCCCCTCTTCAGCATATTTAAGTATTTCTTGCTGCTGTAAGATGGGGGGGGAGGCTCCTCCATGGAAGCAAAATTTGGCGAGTACAGGCCAAAAACAGCTGTCTGGAATAGATTTGGCTCTTTGCAGAATGGAACCAGGATTGTCCTCTTCCCCTACCTTTGCATAATTCTCTTAGAAAGAGAAGTTTTCTTTATCCTTGATATGGATGTGTTGGCCAGAGTGCCATCTCTGTGCCCAAACTCACCTGCCTGGGGGTGGGAGAGCAGCAGGGCTTGGCTCCTTTGAATCCCTGCCTTCCTTCACGATGCTTAGGGAAGGCACCCGGATCTCGTGTCGATACTGGGCTCTTTAAAGATGCTCTGCTACTTTCTAGTAAACAGATTTACCCAGTAGTGCCTCCCTCTTGCAATGAAGCAGTTCAGGCCTTTGCTGTGAACCCTCATTCTTTTCTCCACCCCCCCTCAAAAAAAAATATAGAAAATTTTCTCAGCTGCCCCAACCTAACTTTTCTAACCAGTTTAATCTATGGATATAACCCTCCCTTCTCCTTTTAATAGCCTCTGCTGAGGTCATTTCACTCCTCCTCTCCTGACCTGGTTATGGAGGTTGAGCCGACATAGATTCAAAGTGAAGGGTTGTCCCATCGTCACCCCCCCACTGCCTCCTTTTCTGGCCAGTCTGCGTCTGCTCCCCTCCTCCAGTTGCAATGGCCTTAACATTCCGTTGTCAGCGTTCTTTTCTAGGCCGCCGGGGCACGCTCTCCTCTCATGCACTGGCATGGTTAATCTGTCTACTTAGCAGAGAGGTGAAGGGGCGGGGTAGTGGTTGTGAAACCTGATCCTCAGTCCGGAGAAGAACAGCCCAGGCTCCTGCCTGTGCTCGAAAGCTATTAAAATGTATTTTAAAAAAAGACCACCCTCTGCCTGTTCTGTGTTCTGTATGCTTGACTTTGGTCAGTATGTTTATTTTATTAGAATAATAACTTTCCATCCATCTCAAACACTGATATGAAAAACAATAAGTTGCCTTATAAGAAATCAGCCTGTTGGTCCAGCTAGCTCAGTATTATCTTCTCTGATTGGGAGTAACTGTCAGTGGTTACAGTGAGATGGTTCTCCCCATCCCCTTTTATGTAAGAGACCTTTTAACTAGGGATTGACTCTGAGTCCTACATGCAAAGCAGGTGAGCCACGTTCTGTTCCCCCCCCCCAGTTATAAAAGATGTGCTGCGTCATTGCAAGCCAGAGTCTGCCGAAGATCACCAGAGTCCAAGAGAGGGCACTTGGAAATCAAAAGGGCTCCCTGGGCCCTGACCTGGATAGCCCAATCTCATCAGATCTCGGAAGCTAAGCATGGTCTGGTCGACTCTGGCAAGTGCTTGGATGGGAGACCTCCTTGGAATACCAGCAGTCAGGAGGACAGGGGCAGGCTTTATTCGGCCACCTCTTTGTGGCCCCCAGTAGGGGTCAGTCACCAGAGGTCACCATGACTTCCAGATGCACACACAGTCACTAGAGGTCGCCATGACTTCCAGGTGTGTGCACACACACAAATACACAAGAAAAGGGCTACATGATACCCACCAAGCCGTAGTGCCAGTTGTTTTTCTCTAGAGACAAAGAATATCATGCTTCAAGTTGCCACCCATCTCTGCTAAAGGCTGGAGCAAGCGAAGCAACACATTGTCCAAAAAGAAAAAGAGCAAGTCTGCTGGTCCATCTAACATTGAATACATCTCTTTGCACATTAGTAGCCTCTGTCCCCCAAAGAATTTGCACATAAGGAGGCCTTATCTAGCTTATGGTGGTGTTTCTTCCTGCCTGTTGTGGTTTCCGAAGATTACTAGAGGTTCATTTTGGCTTAAAATACATGGAGTTGATGTTGGTTTCCTCTCAAGAAGTGTATACTTGTTCTGACTGCTTGGTCATTTATGGGGGGGAAGGGAGGATGGAGGAGTGAACTAAGGAAGGAAAAAATACCTCTTGAGGTCGCAACCAGTTCAGCACAGAGGAAGTGGGGGATAATGTTGCATGCGCCCTCTTTGCTTATAGATTTTTAAAAATTTGCCCCAGGCTTGTGTAATCCCTTATTGTGACACTGTAAACACCGGTGCAGAATGTAATAATGCTCTGTAATGTTGAGTACCTGGAATCCGTGCTGGGATACTGGACACAACAAAAATGTTGCTGAGCAACTGAGTGTCTGCGGGGCACATTTCAGACTACTGAGTAGCCACAACTAATCATTCCCCATCCATTTATCATTGGGGGATGGCTTCCACCGCAAAAGGCATACATTTCACTGTGTTTTGAGCTCTGGCACCAGCATTTTAGAAAAAATATTTCTCTGTGTTGTCAAGTCGCTTCCGACTTACGGTTGTTACCTTGTGAATGAACGACTTCCGAAACGTCCTATCGTTACCAGCCTTGCTCAGGGCTCGCAAATGGAGGGAAGTATTTCTATAATGTTTTAAAAGCTTTTGAACAAAATTTGAATCCAGTGGCATCTTTAAGACCAACAATGGCCCCGGTCACACGGGCTGGATATCGCAGGGGGGAGCCGTGGCTAATTGCCCCAGCACAGTTTGATCCGCGATTATGCGATCAGACACGCCGGCGGCACACCATGGGTCCTTCCCTCGGCGCCGGCGGGTAAACGAGGGACCGGAGGGGAATGCTGTGCGCCGGCGCGATCACACCATGGGCGTCTGGAGGCAGCCCGTGACAAACGTTTACTAGTACCTTGGAGGTACTAGTTTTTTAACGTGCATTGTCCGCGGTAAGCCACGGGTGTGCTCCACTTCCCAGATGTTGGGGTGTGATCGTGCCCGGATAATCCACCCACTATCCGTGCCTCTCCCGCGGCAACTTTGCCGTGTGACCGGGGCCAATGTTTAATTCTGGGTATAAGCTTTTGTGTACGTGAACACTCAGAATAAAACTTTGTTGGTGTTAAAAATTGCCACTGGGATCAAACTTTGCTATGTTGCTTCAGCCCGATAGGACTACCAACCTGAATCTAAAAAGCTTTTGCCAGTTTGGCCTTGAGGGTCGTTTTCACTGCCGACCAGCGGGTGCCGCTACAGGCTGCTCGTGATCACTAACCATGGGCTGCATGGTGGTCTTAGAGCAGGAGTGTGCGTGCGTACACTTAGCCACCTGGGTATCCTCGCAGTAATGGCTGGGTGTTGTTTTTTTTATCGCGGAGATGATAAATTAGAAAAATTCAGGTGGGGTAACCCTGTTGGTCTGAAGCAGCAGAGCAAAGGTCGAGTCCAGTGGCACCTTTAAGACCAACGAAGTTTTAATCAGTGTGTAAGCTTTCGTGGGCAAAGAAGTGTGCTCTGCCACGAAAGCTTACACTTCGAATAAAACAAAGTTAAGAGTCCAGTGGCACCTTTAAGACCGACAAAGTTTTATTCAAGGTGTGAGCTTTCGTGTGGAAAGCACACTTCGTCAGACAATGAAATGGAATTACAGATCATAAACAAAACTTTGTCGGTCTTAAAGGCGCCACTGGACTCCAACTTTGTCACGATAAACCACACAGACCCAACACTTGCCCTTTCTCCCGCAGCATCGCGGCCCCAATGGAGTCTCTCAATCTTCACCGGAAGTTAACAAACACCAGGATTGGCCATTCCCCCCCCGTCCCCATTATTTTGTTTTAAACAGACAATGCGCCACTCTAGCACTCTCTGTATTCTATGGTGCCCCCCCCTCCCGCGCGCTTTAACGCGGGGAGGGGTGGCCGACAGAGCGTGACGCACATGCGCGCGTCTCCAGCTCGCCTCCGACCTTCAGCGAGGGAGCGGATTGGACGGATTCGCGCATACGCAATGCGTAATTCGGGCCTTCCTCCTGGGAAGGAGCCGCTGTGAGGGAAAGAAAGAGGGGTGGGGGGGCCTGACGTTCTCTTCGCGGCCGGCCGACCCTCGTCCCTCGATGGCGGAAGGAGGGAAGGGCGGATACAGCGGTGAGGGGAGGAGAAAGTCGGGCGAGGCGGAGGGAAGGGGGCTGGAGGGGAAGAATTAGAGAGGGGGCGATGGAGGGGAGGGATGGGGCAGTGAGGGCCCGAAGGCGGCCGAGGGATGGGGGGGAGCGGGGAAGGGGGTACCCAGAGGGCAGGGCCGTTGCCTGTGGGGCGGCTGTCGGAAGCGCGTTCCGAGGATGGCGGGAGCGGGTGGAGGATCCGAAGAGGGGAAGCGCCGTAAGGGACGGGGAAGGGGATTCTTATTGCGGGAGGCATGGCGGCTCCGTGGTAGGAGCGTCTGTCTCGAATATGGAAGGTCCCGGGTTCACTCCAGTGGGGTCCAGTGGTTAAAAAGGTCAGACTAGGATCTGGGGGAGGCCCAGGTTTAAACCCCCTCGCTGCCTGGTTGGCCTGGGGCAAGCCGTGCACTCTCAGCCCAGACCTGCTTCCTACGATTGTTGTGAGGATAAAATGGAGACGAGGAGAACAATGCTTAAATTACTTTAATGATAGTGCTCTTACAGCCAATTCGGCGCTGAGTAGTGTCACTCTGAGACTAAAAAAAAAACCCAAAATGAAAGAAGGACATTTATTTAATACATGTGTCTGTGTAATGTAAAAAGAGGGGAACAATGTAAGCCGCTTTGGATCTCTGTTGGGGAGAAAGGCAAGGTGTGTGTGTGTGTGTGTGTATAAATTCCTGGTTAAAATACATATCTGGTGGGAGATGACATTAATGATTTCCAGCTGCGACCCTGGCAAAAGCTACTAGTCAAGAATAGACAAGCGTAACCTTGCCAGCGCTCTGATTTAGTATAAGGCAGCTTCACAAATTCAGCAGAGATTTTTAGCAGGACCTTCTGTACAAACTGGCTATTGTTCTTTTAATTTTGGATATCACTTGAAAGATTTTCTCACTTTTTTGGTGTTCATTGGCTTTAAATGTTTTAACTGTGAAATCCTTTGAGGGGTTTTTTGCGAGAAAAGTGTACTGTATGTACTGCTAAATAAATAAACCAAGTAAATAGTGTCTGGTGCAAGAGTAAGAAGAAGGGAATGAGGGGAGGCCCAGCTCCTACGGGTGCTGGAAGGGGGATAAAAGGGGCCATAAGTTTAGGAATAAGGGAAACTGTTGGAGAGAGCAATAAAAGCATCAAGTGGTTATGTTGACCCTTTGAAGGGGGACTAACCTTTAAGGAGTTTTGTGCCTTTTCAGAAGGGCTTTCAGTGTATCGCAGGGCAGTGTGTAAACATTCAGTTGTTTTGTCACTTTTTTATTCCTTGTGTTCTTTAAGAGTCCCAGGGTGGTGGTTTTTTCGTATGTTTTATTCTTACTGTAGTTGTGGGAGTAGAATATGTTTAGAGAGTGTATGTAGCTGGCTCAAAGTCACCCAAGGAGCTCAGTGGTTGCATGTGGATTTGAATCTGAGTTTCCTCAGTGTTAGCCTGACACTCTAAAGTACCCCACCACAGTGGCTGTCTCACAGAGTTCCATAGAATGCTTCATTGTGGAGGATATTCAGTAGCACAGTAGGGGAGTGGAGATGTTTCAAGGTGGCATGGAGATGACTCTGTTTTATAGTCTTAAACAGACTGAGGCTTTTCAGCTTGGGGATTCTCCATCCTTCCCTGAAAACACCTTTTTCTCATCTTTAAATTTCTGCTTCGGCTTCTGTTTCTCAAGCAGAAAAGAAAGGCGTTACTGCAGGCATGACACTGAAGGAGAAGTATTTTTTGGAGAGTGGGAAACAATGGTGACGTAAAGAGGGATAACAGAAGGTTGGGGGGGGTGTGCATGGAGGGAAGGGGTTGAAGTAGGGAAGGAGATGAGCACAGTGGGCAGTGGGAAAGCTTGAGAGGGCAGAGATGATGGAGGGCGTCAAGAAGGGGAGAGAATACTGTAGGAGTGGGCCCATGGGAAGATGAGGAAGACATTCTGGGGAGTGAGATCTTTCTGGAGAGGATAGCAGGGATTTACAATGGAGAGGGTTTTTTTGTTTGTTTGTTTGGGATGCACAAGGATAGTTTTTGAAAGATAGCAAAGGGAGGACGTTCATTAGGTAGCATTTGTTTGCAGTATGTGCATGCACAATTTTGTCAGGACGTTGTCCTTCTCTTTAAGAAGCTGACAGAGTGTTTTAGAAAACAGAAAGTGGCTCTTTCTGTGAAAAAAAACCTTGGAAGAGAGTCCTTTGCTGTTGGAGAAATGGACAGGAGTACAGGGAGGGCATTTGCGGGTGGAAAAAGTGGCTGTCCTGAATTTGATCAGGAGCCAGACGATTTGTATGATAGAACTGGCGATGAGCTCAGAGTTCTGTTCATGAGAAGAATGGGAGCACTTGGTAGACAGTAGAGTCAGTTTAAAGTACCAGGGAAGTGGCCCTCTTTGGTTATGTATGGTGTCTTGCCAAATGCAGTTGTGGTTCTCACTTCAGATATTTTTTACTAGTATCCTTTGCATGATTTTTAATTTGTTACCCTTGCACAGAACATGATGATCGTGTGGGTGGAGGAGGCAGCAGCAACAGGGGCTTCCCTGGGCGGCGGAGGAAAGGCCGGGGCCCCTTCCGAGGGAAGATGTACAGTGAGATGAATCACCATCAGAAAAACTGGAGCAATCCAGGCTCTGGTCCTCGTAGCCGTGTAGAGGAAGAGGATGAAGATGTTACCATGAGTGACCCTCACGATGCACTACGATCTCGCTAGTGAGTAAATTGTTCGTTTGCTTCACCTCACTTCTCCCAGTGGTCTAACAAGGACAGCAGTCGGGTTTTTTTTACAGGGTTGTTGTGTTGGTGGTGAAAAGTGCCATCAAGTCACAGCTGACCCTGTGGGGTTTTCCAGGCAAGAGACATTCAGAGGTGGTTTGCCATTGCCTGCCTCCGTGTCTTGGCCCTGGTATTCCTTGGAGGTCTCCCATCCAGATGCTTACCAGGGCTGACCCAGCTTAGCTTCCAAGATCTGATGAGATTGAGCTGGCATGGTCTATTCAGGTCAGGTCCTTGTGTTGTTAGTGAAACAATTTTTAAACAGTTATGTGGTCCAGGAACCTGCTTTTCAACGTGGACCTTAATTCTTATGTAAAGAATGGGTTACCTGGTGGCAAAAGCATTTAATGCCAATACAAAAGTTACAACAATCGGGTCAACAAGTAATCATACAAAGGGTTGACTATGGAAAAGAAAAGTATTTTTAGCATCGTTGTTTCACGGAATTAATTATTGTTGAAGACAAGGCAATAGGTTCACGTTTCTCAAAAAGAAGTGGAATTTCCCTCCTCTACACAAAATGAAAAATAAAAATTATCATTAGCACACAAACCATTGGTGTATTTTTCAGAAAACCCTTCAACTAGTACCCCCCCACACACAAAAGTTTAGGTTGGATTTGTAGGAAAGGTGATACGGTTATTTTGCAGGGCTTTACTTGTTAAAAAGATTAAAGCAAATAAGGCCAAGGTGTTGGTTTTGATGAATAGGTGAATGGTAAGTATCTGTCTGCAGTCTGTGCTACTTAATGTTATGGTTTACAGGCCCTCCCACAGGCCAATGAGTAAATGCTTAGAAGGTGGGGCTCCAGGAGTGAAGTGAGCCTTTCCTGCCTGACCAGATACAGCTTTTTAGCTGTGGGTGTCTGTATCTTGTGCCTGATGATGGAGAAATGGGGTCATATGACTCATTCGCCAGAACAGCATTGAGTGGATGAACGATCCAGAAAGTGCAAGCCAGAATACTAGTTCAGAAAACTAATGATTGAATGTGACTTGGGAAAGGGTGCAGTACGGCGTGACCTAATTTTTTAAAAAACCTTTTATTTGGCAGTATGTGTCATGTTCATGTCTGACTGTGGCATTTTCTTTTGGAACCAAATGTGTTCTGTTGCTTCTTTGTCATCAGCATAATTTGTGTCATGAACTAAAAGCAGGTGTGTCCAGTGGTATCTTAAAGACTAGCAAAACTTATTCTGGTATAAGCTTCCATGAGTCTGAGGCTCCTGTTTTATTTTGCTGCACAGACTAACACAGCTACCTACCTGGAATTATCATTCTGTGAGTTAAGAGAATTAGCTGCAGGCCAGAGAGTCTCCCACATTCTAATTCAGCATTATTTGATGTATCACCTCAGACCTGCTTTGCTAAAAAACCTAGTTTTCTGCTTCTCAGCACTCCTTATGGGCAGCGGCCAAACAGACCAGACCGGGAGCGGGGCGGCCTGAGCAATTTAAACCTCACAGTGCGAAAGAATCTGGGAGCTCCAGAGCGAAATTTTGCCATCAGCAATGCCACCAAGAAGAACTGGTTCAAAGTCACAGTGAGTCTCCTGGGAAAAGGGGGTGTGGAGGCAAGAGCCAGGTGGTCAGGGGGGGGGCGTCTGGCTGCCATTGGCAAAAATGCCCGGCTGCTTGTGATAGGCTGAGGTTACTACTATTGCCAAGAGCTGCTGCCTGCTATTGACTGGTCAGACCTTAGAATAGGATAGGGGTCTATGCAAAGTAGGGTAGACCAGGGAGGTTCTTGGAAAGCAGCAAGCCACAGGAAGCAGTGTTCGGGGGTGGAGGTGGTGGAATATTCCAGCAGAACAAGGGGAGACGATGGGAAGCTGGGAAAGAAAATAGGGAGAGAGAGATGGTGTTTGTAGCCAGAACTACAGAAAGTGAAGTTGGCTAAAATTCATACATCAAATAAAATAGTCAGATCTTTGAAAGCATCTGGTATTTATTGTGCTCTGCCATGCAGAAATAAGTGAGGGACTTAGGATGTTTAGCATGCTAGCCCTCAATTATTTACAAGAATACTTTGAAACTCAAATACATGTAAAACAGAAAAAGACACACACACCCTTTTGCATTTGTGTGAATGTTTGAGAAAATAATTTGGGGAAAAGGTTTCCATACCTTCTGTTCATAAGGTAGCGTGTCAGTTGTTCCCCACAGGATAGCTCTTGCAGGCTCCTATGGCCCACTGTTAGAAGAGACAGGAAACTGAGGAGCTGCTGCCACTTCTAAATGGAAGAAAGCAGCATTGTGTTCAGGTTCTTAGCACCCATCCTGTATCCGTATGACATTTTGGCTATTGTACCTGCTTGGAATTCCCTAGAATCATAGCATTGGAGGGGTCCTCCAGGGTCATCTAGTCCAACCCCCTTCACAGTGCAGGAAATTCACAAATACCTCCCCCTCCACACACCCACTGACCGCTGTTCCATGCCTAGAAGATGACAAAAAACTTCCGGGATCTCCAGTCAAACTGGCTTGGAGAAAAATTGCTTCCTGACCCCAGCGTGGAGATCGGCATTTCACTGGGCATATAAGAAAGGGCCACAAGAACTAAGCTCTGATGCAACCCTTCCTGTCCTCCCTCATGATTTGCCTAAGTACACACAATCAGCATTGCTGTCAGATGGCCATCTAGCATGTTTCAAAACATCCAAAGAAGGAGAGCCCACCACCTCCCGGGGAAGCCTGTT